AGTCAGTGAGTGAGCTCTGTGCAGAGAAAGCTTGACATTTTTGAGACCTTCTGGGCTCTTTATCCTTTAATTTAAAGACTCATTGACTCCTCTGGCAATATTAGTTCCAACTGCTGGTCTGACTAATTATAAAGCTGTTTGGGGAACATTTTCAGTGTTAGTGGGGATACTGTAATAAAAAAGCCACCCTTTGGATAATTATAACAAAATAGTCCTCCTTTTTCCTCTTTTTTAGTCAACTGATGCTCTATCCCATTATCGTGTGCCACCATCAAGCAAAACCTTTATTATTTGGTATATACTGTAGCTGTCTGTTCTCCTTAATATTTTCATCACATCTAACCAACCTAATCAATTCAGCTCTGAAAGGAGTAACTGCTTGAGTTCTGAAGTCGGAAACATAAATGGGTATAATGTTATATATAAATACATTTATGAGAATTTTCTGATTTAGTGAAGGAATTTAAACCAGGGTTGCAACAATTTGTTTGGCAAACTTCAGCTCCAAATTGCATTAACATGCAAAAATAAAGAACCTTTATATAAGATTTCACTTATAAGTTATCAAGTTTACATCAATTCATGATTTTGAAAGTGACATGACACTATTTATACATTTTTTTCCCACAGAATTCATCAACATGTGCGGTATAACTCCCAGCAGGAGAAAAACAAGGCACACAACACAAAGATTTTGCTGTCTCATCAGTGCCACGTTCACTGTTGCTCCAGTGACAGCCAGCTGAGTCGATGTTCCTTTTTAAGGTTTCACCCAGTGTTACTCTTCTGCTGCTGAAATGCTGTTCCTGCTTTTGCTCTGCACTAAAGATAACACAGCTAAGCTTTAGAGAAGAGGTTTCTCACATGATGTCTCTGTTTTTGCTTTAAGTCACAAAGATCTCTCTGTTAAATGAATACTGTGAGAAATAAAGAAAGACAAACACAAGCTGATATAACTCAGCAGCCTTTCTGACCTCTAAGCAGGAGGAGAGAAATCTGAGGTAATGTCAGTAACTGAGCACTGCAGAGTGAAGTATGCACAAGCTTTTATAGTGGAGTGTGTGCAGGTGGATCACGTGAGTGAGCGTATGACCTTCTATTTGTAGTGAGAAATGGTCTGTGAGACACCGTTCTATAGATGGGAACCTATTATCAACTCACATAAAAGTGGCACAAAGAGCTTCAAATTGCAAGGGAAAAAATGTGTCAAAACATCTCCCCTTGATTTGATAATTGAGCGTTGTGTGGTCATTTTTCTTCTTGTTGTGTTAATTGTTTCTTTTTACACAAAAAACCCCCATATTCACTATTATGTCCCATAGCATTTATAAGTTTGTATGGACCCAATGAAGACTATAAACCACAGTGGAGGCTATTAAGGATCATATAAACCATAATCAATATACCTGTTGACCCCTGAATATGTAAAAGTACAAAATGATAAATGTTCAGACAGTGCATGTCTCTGTACAGCAGGTGGAGTACGAGGAGTCTGTTTGCAGTTTGCATACGCCGCAGGTAACTTTTATAAAAAATAACTGAAACTTTGCTCATATTTGCTGAAACTTTTTTAGTACATGAAACAGATCATTTGTGTGAACCGGCCTCCGGATTGGTTGTTTTCGTTTAGGCCTGCTGGATTCTTGCAAATGCTTGAACTTGAATCGGCCTCATCTGTCTCATGCACTACTGGATATAGTGAAGGTTTCAGCAAATATGACAAAAAGTTTGTTGAATATCTTTGATGCTATCCTTGGCTACCAATTACTTTGAGACAACCAGGGCAACAGCTAATGCAATATCTGTTCGTGGAAACTTATTATCCACATACAGCAGAAAAGGGTATTCTTGGGGAAACCATGGAAACAAAGCATCAACGATGAACCACAATGTCCTGCTCATTAATGTTAATTAAGACTGATCTTTAATAATCTT